TGCAGTCAAATTTGGTTCGCGTCTGGATTTTTCTAAAGGATCTCCATGAATTGATGGATATACCGGCCTCTACATCCATCGTGATTTTGTTTATGAATACTGTTTATCCAAGCAGCAATATAAATGAAAAATTCCTTTTTCTGTTTACAAAAATAAGAAGATTCAAAAACAATATATGGTGAGCTAGCGTGTACAACGGAGAACGACAACACTTATGCATGGCTTGTTCTCCGCCCCTTACCCTACACGCCTCTCTATCTTTAATTTTTACCACCTTGAAACCCGCCGAAATAGATGTGTCATCTTCCTACTGTGCAATTTCTTCATTTCCGGCAGGGTCTGTTACTTCTCTGAGCGCACTAGTATGGATAATCTTCGTGGGCATAGCATGAAACTCTTCAAACCGCNGTCAGTGCTCTTTCACACACAGGGGCATTCCTCTTTGGAATAGCCTTCCACAAGAATTAATCAATGTCCCCACAAAATCCGCTTTCAACAGAAATCTGTATCTTGGTCTAATTTCTGAACGTTAAGATCTCCCCGTCCCATAGTGTTATTCATGTTCCGTATTTCTTCCTAAACTTTCCTATTTGTTGAACTGCATGCAGATACTGCACCCCTCCCCTGCTCTTACCTCATTTCAGGTAACCTTCTGTACAAACAGAACGCGGACTCGATATAACTATCCGACATCCACCGCAGTGGAGCTTTGTCCATACCCGGCTCACCGGGACTCGGGACCAGAAGAAACCTTGGAAACCACTAAGATCTGTGACCATTGCGCCTAGCCTCGCACCCGTGTAATACTCCAAGACAAGAAAATATGAGCAGTAAACGTCCTTCACATCTTTATGTTTTACGTGGGGCAAGTAGGAATGTGTACACTATATAGATACGTATAGCTATGCATAGCTATGCGAATAAATGCTGCATCCCTCCGTCTTTTTTTTCAGGTTTCTCCCTCCAATATCTAAACACCCATCTTGTGTTGCACAACAACATAACACCTGTGCAGCACGGATTTGTGACAAGTAAGTCATGCCTGACAAATTTGCTGCTGTTCCTAAACGATGTGACCACGAGACTCGACGAAGGCCTTACTGTAAAAATCTGTTACATGGACTTCGACTCGATCAATCACAGATACCTGGACCACAAGATGCAAACAGTAGGCATTACGGAGAGGGTCAGGACCTGGGTGAATAACTTGTTCAGGGGAAGGACCTTCAGAGTAAGAGTTGGCACGTACACTACAGATCCAGTAGATGTGATCAGTGGCGTACCCCAGGGGTCTGTACTGGGCCCATTACTCTTCCTAATCTACCCTAATGACCTGCCGTCGGGGCTGCGGAACCCGTGCTATCTGTTTGCTGAGGATGTGAAGGTAGCCGGGGCAGACCTGGATGAAGACATTGAAGCTATACTACCCTGGTCACCTGCCGCTAAACCTATCCAAATATCAACGTCTAGGGACAAGAAGGGCCGACATCCCTGATCAGATAGGGCAGTTGATGGAGGTTACGCATGCCAAGGACCTAGGGGTGGTGGTCTCTAGCGACTTCAAGCCCTCCAGGCAGTGCATAGAGTTGGCCAATAAGGCTAGAGGCGAACTCTTTAGGATAAGGGCTACGATGTCCTGCAGAGAATCGCAGGTACTGGTCCCGCTGTATAAAGCTATCGTCCGGCCAAATCTGGAGTATTGTGTTCAAGCATGGGCACCATACTTACAGGAGCTAGATTGCCTGGAAAGAGTTCAACGGCTAGCTATCCGAATGGTATCTGGTCAGAACTATAAGGATAACGAGGACAGACTTAAGGACTTAAAATTGTTTTCCCTTCGACGCAGACGCGTGAGGGGTGACTTAATTGAAATGTTGTAATGTTTGTTTTAGCAGTAGTAGTACGCACGGAATTCGGAGCACCAACCACGCAATATGAATTACAGGACCCGAATCGATAATCAGCTATCACGGATTGGATCGAAGAAACACTGGATCACAACGGCACGGATTCGCAATGTCCCACGAGACGCAAGGAAAAGGCCACAGGACAGGCAGTAAGTAGTTCATTTATTGGAAGGAATGAAGGTGATTAAATAATGTGTACAAAGGGAGGTTATTGGCTATCCGGGCTTCCACCAACTGGGTTGCAGTACTGCTTGCATAATCTTGCTTCTGTCTGCATTGTCTTGGATTGGCTGGCACCATCCACCAATGACGTGTATTCGGAAGCCATGAGCGTGCCATTGACGTCAGCATTCAAACTTTATTGATCGCCAATGTCCTGAAACTGTACCGCGCCGCTCCAGAGTAGGCGCCATCGTGTAGACCTGGATTACCACAAATGTTCAAAATAATGAACGGTTTGTGGGCATCAAAAGCGAGGAACTATTCTCCGCGATCCCGGCAAGTGGCACCAGGGGCATAGCTTCAGACTCCAGCGTAATCATAGTAGGCTGCAACTCCGGGCAAGGTTTTTCACCAACAAGGTGATCCCACTGTGGAATAGGCTGCCAGAACACGTGATCAGATACAGCACTGTAGTGGCCTTCAAGACCTCCCTGGATGAGTGTTGGGGAACCGTCTAACAAGAAGCGGCCTACTGAGGAGTAAGGAGCTAAGAAAACACTCACGCACGGTAGCCGGTAAGGATTAATGTTACCGATGTGGATGCATGCTGGAGAAAGGTGTTTTCCGTTAGTTACTTTCTGTGAATATACCAGGTGCCAACATTTTACATTTTATGACAATTTCGCCAGGTGTCAATGGTCAGGATCAGGGTCATTCAAACTAACCCATGGCATCTTGACCCAGGCCTAGACCGCTGCGTCTCATTTGTCCAGTTTCAGAAACATCCCAGCTGGGAACGCTTACTGAGGACTGAGACAACTGTACCCGACAACGATAGATCGCTGGAATCGGCAATACGCAGTGTTGGAAGCTACAAACATCCGCCAACAACACAACAATCTGGACGCTCGATTGGCTGGAAGCCATATTTCGTCCTGGACATACTGAACTGAACTGAACTGCATCTTGGAATCTTCTCACTAATGTATCTTGCCCTCCCCACCTCTCNTGACCTTGCGTTGCGTAATTCAGTGGGTTTTCAGTCCGAGTTCAAGTTCGCGCTGTTCAATTCCGGTTCCTATTCGATTATTACACTATTATATGACGACGGCCAAACAATTCTTTTAATGTAGCCCTTGCCCGTTTGTATCCTTCTGACGCAGAATACACCGAACATCCTTGAGTGGCATCCTTAGCCTTACCACGACAATGGTGGTTAAGATAAGTCAGTCGCTGTCCATCATCTTTAACTCTATTCACCATTTGTTCATCAAACTGTCGGAAGAAGCTGAAATACTGACTCGGTGACCCGTCAAAGCAAGGCAGATCACATCTAGGCAACTCCAAGCGAGTTAGCAACTTATCAATGTTGTAGTCTACCATATCCGACCTGAGCCTCGTATAGGAAGTATTCTGTTCGCAGTCCCAAAGATATCTCGGCGTCGATGATGTAATCTTTTCTTCTGCTAAGGGAAGCNCCACCTCTCCATCGGGCAATATGTATCAAGAGAAAACCGACAGTAACCAAGTTTTGGGACCATGGGGCTTCGAAATTTCAAGACTCTCAAAGGAATGTGGAAGAGAAACTCCGGACCCTCAATTAGTTCTGCTTTATGGGACCTGATAATACATACCCAAGGTTATTTGTGGAGTCAGGTGTTTTCCCGGCTGATCCGTACACTCTCTTCCAATGCATGGAAAGAAACGCTTATCTCCTTCTTTACGAAATAGGCGGCAGAAAATTCCCTGTTAGCTACCGTCCGATTTCCTTTACCAGAATCCCCAGCAAATCTTCGAGCAGCTTATAAAAGAAGAAATCTCGGATCACCTTTTGCTCAAGAACTTCATTCCCCGTTTCCAGTGCGGGTTTATATATGACAGATCTTACATCATCAATATGCTGACCGT